CTTGCTCAGTTGCCTGTTGCTAGTGTAGGTTCTTGTGTAGACTCTAGTCCAGCGGCTACCTCAGAGGACGGTTCGCTGTCGTTCACGCTGGACTCTGGAGCCTCTCACTGCTTCTTTCGTGACAGCACGACACTTACGCCTCTTCCTGCGCCTGTTTCTGTGGCGCTGGCTGATCCCACTTCGGGACCAGTCACCGCGCGTCACACTACCACCTTGCCGTGTCCGGCTGCTCCTTCTGGGTCTCTCACTGGGTTTCACGTCCCCTCGTTCTCCCGGAACTTGGTGGGCGTGCGACCCCTCGTGAGTCAGCACGTGGGTGTGTGGTTTGAGCCTTCTGGAGAGACTGCGGTGTGTGTTGACGGGGACTCTTACCAGCCCCTCGCCACTTTTGCTGCTGAGCCAGGCTCCGGTCTCTACACTCTTCACACTGGCCCGCGCGCTCAGCAGCGACTGCAGCAGCAGCAGCAGCCGCAGCAGCAGCAGCCGCAGCCGCAGCCACAGCCGCCCCTCCTGCCCCCGGCCCCTGTTTTGCCCCCCGTTCGAGTCCTCGCGTCTCACCAGGTTGCTCCGTCCCCCCAGGTAGCTGTGTCTTGTCAGGTTCCTCCGTCTAGTCCGGTCGCTGCGTCGTGCTCCTGTCGGTCGCTTGCCCACCCCACCGTTTTGTGGCACCACCGGCTGGGGCACCCTTCTCCTCCTCGTCTTCGCGCTATGTCTCGTCAGCGTCTTGTCTTAGGTCTCCCGCGTGTCTTGCCGTCGCTGCCGCCGTCCCTTGCACCACCGTGCGGTCCTTGCGTCGAGGGTAGGCTGCGCGCCACCCCTCACTCCTCCTCCCTTCGTCCGGCCACCGAGCCTTTTGAGACGCTGCACTTGGACGTCTGGGGCCCCTCTCCTCGCCCTGGCCCTGAGCGTGAGCGTTTCTTTTTGGTGGTCGTTGACGACTACTCCCGCTACACCACAGTGTTCCCCCTGGCGAGGAAGTCTGAGGTGACTTCTACGCTGATCAAGTGGTTGCTTACCACCCAGGACACTCGTGGTCGTCGTGTCAGCTGTCTCCACTCCGACCGCGGGGGCGAGTTTCGCTCCGGCATTCTCGCTGGATTCTGTCGCGAACAGGGCATTCGTCAGTCCTGGACGCTTCCGGAGTCCCCACAGCAGAATGGGGTTGCTGAGCGTCGCATAGGCCTGGTCATGGAGATTGCCCGCACCTCCTTGACTCACGCCCGTGCCCCCCATTTCCTGTGGCCATACGCGGTCAGGTACGCCGCGCACCAGCTGAACCTCTGGCCACGCGTCTCTCGGCCGGAGGCTTCACCGACCAGTCTTTGGACAGGGTCCCCTGGTGTCGCGTCGAGGTTTCGTGTCTGGGGGTGCTTGGCTCTTGTCCGCGACACCTCCGCGGACAAGCTCTCGCCTCGCGCCGTTCCTTGTGTCTTCCTTGGTTTCCCTGAGGACTCCTCTGACTTCACCTTTTACCACCCTCCCTCTCACCGGTTCTTTGACTCCCGTGACGTCCGTTTCGAGGAGTCCACCCCCTACTACGTCAGGTACCCCAGTCGAGGTCTCCCGGTCCCTCCCCCCCCTCTCTTCCTGACCGCCGCTCCCCCGCCTGCTCCCCCGGTACAGCCTCCCCCCCTGGTCCAGCCCCGTCTGGTGTGTCTCAGGCTAGCCCTCCCCCTTCGGTAGCCCCCCCTGTACAGCCTCCCTCCCCACAGTCTTCCTCGCCGCCTCCTGCAGGTGCTCCCTCTCGGGAGGTTGGTCCTGCGACTGTCCCTGTACAGGTCTCTGGTTCTGGGGGTGCTGGAGTTGGAGCTGAGCCGCGGGTTGCAGAGGACTCTTGTCTTCCGGGGGCTGGTACTGGTCGTGCGGAGTCTGGGGGTGCTGGTGCGGAGTCTGGGGGTGCTGCGTCTGGGGGTGAGGGTGTCCCTTCGGTTTCTGGAGAGCCTGGGTCTGGAGCTGGTGTTGGTGCTGCCTCTGGGGGTGGTGTGCTTGGTGCTTCGGAGGTCGACTCTGGGGCTGCCGCTGCCCCGGACACTACTCCTTCCCCCCACCCCTACCCGACCAGGTTCCAGGCTCGTGTTCGCCGTGCTCGTGAGGAGCAGCTGGAGTTGGAGAGAGAGGAGAGAGAGTTGCAGCGGCTCGAGGAGCAGGAGCGACAGCAGCAGGAGCAGCAGCAGGGGCAGCAGCCGCTGGAGCAGCAGCAGCCGCAGCAGCCGCAGCAGCAGCAGCAGCAGCTGCTGCCGTCTCCTCCTCCTGTCTCGGGTCTTCGGACCCTTGGTCTCCCGTCTCCCTCTCCTTCCTCCTCCCCCTCTCCTCCCGTCTCTGGTCCTCCGCTTCCTCCTCCTGACCCCTCTCCCGCTGTTTTCCCTCGTTCTCAGTCTTCGTTGTCTCCTCCTCCTTCTCAGACTTGGGCCTCTCGTCGCTCCCCTCGTGCTCGTCCCTCGTCTCCTGTTCCCTTCACTGACCTTCGTACAGCCTTCCTTTGTTCTCGTCCACCTCGTCCGTCTCCGTCTGTGCTTCCGTCTCCTCCTGAGTCGGCCCTCACTGTGTCGCTTCCTTCTCCTGTCACTGTCTTCTACCGCACGTACCGTCCTGTTCTCTCTCGTGTTCTCGCCTCTCTTGTTACCCACCCTCGTGCCTCTGTGTCCTCTGTGTCCGCTCTTACTGCCGCAGTCACTGAGTTTGCCTCTACTCGCCGCCTTGACTTCGCCACCGCTCTTGTGGCTGCTCCTCCTTCCAGTCCTCTGGCCGTCGGGGGTGTGTCTGCCCTTGGCTGTGACGCCCTAGAGGACAGGCAGTTTGAGCTAGAGTTCCTGGCGGCCGCTTCCCCTCATCTCTGTGCCATGCTCCTCGCCCCTGAGGGTGACCCCGACGCCCTTGACATTCCGACTCCTCGCACTTACGCTGAGGCAGTGTCAGGGCCTTGGGCCTCTCAGTGGAGAGCTGCCATGGACGCAGAGATGGCCTCCTACAGATCCACAGGCACCTACGTCGATGAGGTTCCCCCTCCGGGGGCTTACGTAGTCGACGGCATGTGGATCTACAGGGTGAAGCGGCCACCGGGATCTCCTCCGGTCTTCAAGGCGCGCTACGTGGCTAGAGGTTTCAGTCAGCGCGAGGGAGTTGACTTCTTTCAGACCTTCTCCCCCACCTCGAAGATGACCACTCTTCGGGTGTTACTACACGTAGCAGCACAGAGAGACTACGAGTTACACTCTCTCGACTTCTCTACTGCTTTCCTTCAGGGCAGTCTTCACGAGGAGGTCTGGTTGCGTCGTCCCTCTGCCTTCACTGGCTCTTTCCCTCCTGGGACCCAGTGGAGGCTGAGGCGACCGGTTTTGCGGTCTTCGTCAGGCTCCTCGTGAGTGGCACGACACCCTGCGTTCTACCCTGTCTGACCTTGGGTTCCAGCCGTCTTCTGCTGACCCGTCGCTGTTCGTTCGTCGTGGCCCCACACCTTTCTTTGTTCTGGTCTACGTTGACGACCTTGTTTTCGCCACCCCTGACAGGGTTGCTTTGGCATACGTGAAGTCCGAACTGCAGAAGAGACACACCTGCACTGATCTTGGTGAGCTGCGCCACTACCTTGGCCTGCAGATCACCAGGGATAGAGCTGCTCGCACCATTACACTTTCACAGTCACACATGGTGCAGCAGGTCCTTCAGTGGTTCGGGCTTCAGCACTCCACAGTACAGCGCACACCTCTTGCTGTTGACCACAGACTCACTGGACCCTTTCCTGACGAGCCGTTCGAGCCTAGTGGTCCCTACGCAGAGCTTGTGGGTTGCCTCATGTACCTGATGACTTGTACTCGCCCGGACCTCGCCTTCCCTCTCAGCGTTCTTGCGCGCTTTGTTGCACCAGGGAGACACCGTCCTGTTCACTGGACAGCAGCTGTGAGGGTGGCGAAGTACCTAGCGACGACATCAGGCGTGGGGCTAGTTCTTGGAGGGCAGCAGTCTGTCGTACTTACTGGTCACTGTGACTCCTCTTACGCTGACGACGCTGAGACTCACAGGTCTACTCAGGGGTACTGTTTCAGCCTGGGTTCTGGAGCTGTTTCCTGGCGGTCCACGCGCTCCTCTTCGGTCTCGACCTCTACAGCTGAGGCTGAGATCTACGCTGGTGCCATGGCGGCACAGGAGCTGCGTTGGTTGACCTTCTTGCTCACCGACCTTGGTGAGCGGCCGAGCTCTGCACCGACCTTGTTCACTGACAACAAGGCGTCTATTCTCCTTTGTCGAGAGCCACGACTGGAGAGCAGAGTGAAGCACATTCACATCAGGTACTTTCTTCTGCGAGAGTTGCAGAGGCGTGGACAGGCTCGCTTTGAGTTTGTGGAGTCTGAGGCCAACACTGCAGACATCTTCACCAAGGCGCTTCCGCCTTGTGACCACCAGAGGTGCTGTGTGCAGTTAGGCCTTGTTGACACTGGTTCTCGTGTTGCTTAGACTTGAGTGTACTGTTTACTTTGCTTTCTATATATCTCTGTTACTTCTTGGACTGGCCTTGTGGCCACTGTTGTTTGTGCTCAGACTGTGTGGTGACGTTGTGATCCACCCTGAGCTTCGTTTCTTGGACTGGTCTTGTGACCGTACTCGTTTGGTTCTGCTAGACACCCCTCACTTAGGCTATGGGGGTGTGTCAAATGTTGTAGCCTATAGTGAGGTTTGTCTTAGGGGGTACAAAACTTAGGGTTAGCTATATGTACCCCAACCAACATCAATGCATCATCCATTCTTCATTCTGACAAGTAATGGGGGCCGCGATAATCCTTTGGTCTCCAACACAACTACATAGCATTACTTCAGCAGAATCATGCATTTATTAAAACCGAAATATAAAATAGTGAACCCCGACCCAGCTTGAAAACGTGTTCTGACGGGGTCAGGCGAGAACGAAACTGGGCCGGTAAAAGACTGTTGCAAACATTCTCGTGTCTTCAGATCGAACTCATGTGATTGGTTCCCGCCAATGTAATTTTTTTTGCGCACGTCAGGCGATGTCGCATTTCTGGTGCTGCACTCGCACGACGGTTGCTTGTCGCTGGTTTTCATCTTTGGGTCCAACCTCCAGGTTCAAGCTGGGCCTGGGTTCCACATGTGCTTATTTCCGCTTTCGTTCTCACATTGCCAAGCACATAGTAGCCAAGAGCCTATGTTTCTCTGTCCTATCCAAGAAATAATGGCACATACAGTGGCCTCGCTTTCGCCTTGTAATTACTTCCCACCGCACTTCCTCCCATCACCCTCCCGTCGCGCTCCCGTCGCCCCTCCCGTCGCCCTCCCGTCGCCCTCCCGTCGCCCTTCCGTCACCCTCTCGTCGCGCTCTCGTCGCCCCCTCCCGTCGCGCTCCCGTCGCCCTCCCGTCGCCCTCTCGTCGCCCTCTCGTCGCGCTCCCGTCGCCCTCCCGTCGCGCTCCCGTCGCCCTCTCATCGCTTTCCGGTCGCCCTCTCGTCGCCCTCCCGTCGCCCTCTCGTCGCGCTCCCGTCGCCCTCTCGTCGCGCTCCCGTCGCCCTCCCATCGCGCTCCCATCGCCCTCTCATCGCTTTCCGGTCGCCCTTCCGTCCGCTTCCCATCGGCCTCCTGCGCCTTCCTATAGCCCTCCTGTCGCGATCGCCCTTACAATCGTAATCGCCGTTTCCCATCCCTTCCCCTCGCCCTCGCCGTCTCCCATCCCTTCCCCTCGCCCTCGCCGTCTCCCATCCCTTCCCCTCGCCATCGCCGTCTCCCATCCCTTCCCCTCGCCATCGCCGTCTCCCATCCCTTCCCACGTTCGCACCGCCATCTCCCTTTCCTTCCCGTTGCCATCCCATTCGCCCTCGCCATCCCGTGGCAATCCCAGCGCCCTCGCTATACCGTCGCCCTCCCGTCGTCCCGAGCCCTCGCCATCGCCATCTCCCATCCCTCCCATCGCGATCTCCTCTCCCATCCATTCCTCTGTCCCCCCTCATCCTCCTGTCGCCCTCGCCGTCCCCGCTTCCCATCTCTCTCTCTACCCTCCCACCGTCAACATTGTCGTCAACGCACTCTTCCTCACTCCCGTTCGCCCTCTTTGTCGCCGTGCGCACCACCTTATCCATCGTCGTTTCACTTCTTGTGTTTTATTTTTCTCAATTCCTCGTTATCGCCACCTCTCCCAAGTCCGAAGTCCTCGGCAGTACCTTGCTCGCAGCTCTGCTAGCTCCTTCCCACGTTCACTCTCTTTCACCCATTTCGTACATGTGTGACTGCTTGGGAATTTTTTGATCGATGTGAATCTGGTGAAGTGACAGCTCTTGTGAATGCAACATTTCACATCGCTCAACTTCGCCCCTCGCAATCGCACATGTGCATGTTGGAGAATACCGCTGCCAATCAAAATTGAGAATGAATCCCACTTGTTCCTGGTTCCTTTCGAAACTCCTCTGGAGGTGGCGGGAAAAAAAACACAAAGCACTTCAACGTTCCAAAACGTTAAAAAGAAAGTTGGGCCTTCAAGTTGGACCCAACTAGAAGGGGGGGTCACTATTTTAGCTGCTGGCTTTAAGGATTATGTCACTCTATATTTCTCTCAGCCAAGTGAAAGCATGATTGCAGGTGCTACGTTTCCTGGATACCACGATTGAAATCAATCGTCATGGACACCATTTTTTATTGTGCATGTCAAAGTAGATGAATATATATATATATCTATCAGATTGAATGTATAATAAAACATGCATACGCGGCAAGTTAATGAATTTATGGTATATACTGAATGGTTTATTTTCCATAAATTGGTATTTATTTGGTTCTGATTTGTAAGTATTGAATATTTATATCAAATGTATATCAATCAATGTGTCAATTGTCTCAACAATGTAGGCAAATGAAATATAAGTATTGAAGCTTGTAACAAATGCTGTTTTCCGATTTGCATATGACATCAGAACTTCGCGTCATCAGTATCGAAGACAATGAACGGCTCTTTGGTCTGGCGCGAGGGAATTTGTTTCCGCGCGAACGTGCCAAATATGCCAGTCGGCAGGTCACCAAACGAACCAGAGGGACAGACGAAGCGGCCTCGCGTGCCGAAACAAGAGGGAACCAAAATTCGACTGTGCGATTCGAATGTTTGGGTGCTGCTATGGGAATGGGAGTAGACTGGTGGTGTTTGACTCCAACTGATCACACCACCACCACCAACACAAACACCACAACCCTACATAATCAGTCGGATAGTAGGAATTCTAACTTCATATCTTCCAGTGCATCTTGATTCATCTACCATCTTACAACTTCCTGACTAGATCTGACTCGCAACGATGGCTTCAAAGGCTCTCATTGTGACTCTCCTTGCCTCGTGTAAGACAGCATCAAAGCCTCTCGCCTTCCGTTCTTACAACGTCTGCTTTCCTCCATTCACGATAGACTGACACCATCTTTTGCTGAATGCAGTGGTAGGAATATCGTATGCTGCGTCAGCAGTGACGGACTATTGCGCTGGGTCGCCCGTTCAGGTACACCGTCGATGCGCCTTTTTGCGCGGCAGTTGTTGGCCAAACAATAGACATCTTATAACAAGTACCTCGTTTTTTTGCAGTACTGCGACTTCCTCATCAAAGGGTCTACGTCAGTTCCGACTGTGAACCTTCAAGTCTTTTCTGGGAACAGGATTCTTTCGGGAAAGCCCATTGTTTACAAGTGAGCTGTTGAAAAATCGCTGCAGGATCGTTTCATATTCTCTTAAGTTTGAATGATCTTGAAGCAATTGAATATTGTGCATTCGCAGGACTGGCGAGGCGATTAAGACAGCATATTCGTACCAGTGCACTTTCCCCAACGAGAAGGGCAAGGTAACGTTATGAACATGCTGAGAAGGGCAAGGGCAAGGTATTCGTTCTCTGCGAACAGGCTGAATCACACTGCTTGTCATCTTGCAGAAAGCTCGTACCGCATGCGGAAGCATGTTCCACTTCATGAGCCAGACAAGCAGCTGGAACGAGACGACTCTTGTTGGCAGCCACATGATCACCAAGCAGAACCTGGATGTGAGTATCTATCTTCGGCGTTCTTTTGGCTACTAGTCGATTTTGTCCATGCTAACGGGTGTTCCATTGTTTCACAGAAATTCAAGAACAAGTGCGTGAAGATGCTTATTGATAACGTCATGCTCGCAAAGGGCGGCTGGGTCAACAACGGAGATGGAAAGGCCTTGTACCCTCAGGTTTGTTACTCGCCTCCAGTCAAGGTCAGGTTTTGTTTGAGTCTTGAACTCTCGTTTTAACTGACTCTTCTTGACCTTTGCAGAGGAGACGCTGCGTGATGTTCCGTACTGCCTAACGCAACCTGGCGTTCCCAGCATTATTGAGGCGCTTCATGGCGTGGAGAAGATAGGTTGTAGCTTTTTATAGGTTGCTAGAGTTAGCTTGCCCACATGTTTTCTAATCGTAGCCTCCATCGACATACTGACTTGCATCATACTCTGTCAGTCCTTTAGCTGTGTATGACGACTAAGCCCATAAATGTTTGCAACAACAAAACACTAACCCAACCATGGTAGCAGCGCATGAATATCACGATGCACGCGCACGTTATTTGACTTGAACCTTCTCCCAAGCCAGCCCAAGAGGATCCTTCATCATCCCCTTCTCCACCTTTTTCAATCTTGACCGGCTCCATTGTTATGGTTGCCTTCCAATTGGAAATAAAAATCCAGGTTTTACTGCATCAGGAGGACCTAGATTAGACATCCAACTTACTTTGTGGCTCCCCCAAAAACACATCGTGTCCCAAGGACGGAGGAATAGAACTACCGTATTGTTTTGCCTAATTCTGCCACAAATGAATCCTGCCAATTCCCCCCTGCAAAATATGGCATGATTTTGAACCACTTTCGACCTGGGGGCCTTGCCTAGCTCGTACGGTAGGTACTTTAACTTGCTTCTTCCATTCTTGATTATCCACTTTTTGTAGAACCTGTGCAGCGCACCCATAACAAACGTTGGTATGCTGCGTTTCTGATCCTTCCCAACATTAGGCATAATCTTTCTATAAGCATGAAAATAAACGGTTCTGAGCATAGAGATATTGTAAATTTGGTATTATTTTGGACAATATGTCTGCTTCATGGAGAAATAATTAATTCTACACATTTATTGACAATGTAATTGTTTCATGTATGTCGTTTTGCTATATTTCTCATTCCACCCTAGTTATACACCCTGAGGGAGTCCAGCTTCGGGGATTTTCAGTTTCGTGTCAAGCATGTGCCAGCTCGAGTTTCGGGGTTCCATCAACGGTTCTGAGCATAGAGATATTTTAATTCTGGTATTATTTTGGACAAGATGTACGGTATGCTTCATGAAAAATAACGAATTTCACTCATTTACTAAGAGTATAATTGTTTCATGCGTGACGCTTTGTGCTATTCTCATTCCACCCTGGTTCTACACCCTGAGGGTCCAGTTTCGGGGATTTTCAGTTTCGTGCCAAGCATGTGTCAGCTCGAGTTACGGTATTCCACCAAACTCCAGTGCTCGTTCTCTTTGCCGATTCGTGAATCCCGATGTCGCGGCGCGGCCTGCCCCCGCCGCACGATATGGCCGGTTTGATGCGATTGACATTTACAGTATGCTGGACGCATAGGACAGATCGACACCGCAGGTAATGCCTGGGGCGACGACAATGCAGAGAGACAGGATGACAGAAATATTATGCGTGACGCGAGAAGAATTAGACGACGACAAGGTGACACATATCAGACAGACATTCTTGGGGAGGAAGCTATCGTAGAAAGCCTGCAAGATAAAGCGCATTCGTCTTACCCTCCTAGCGAACTCCAAGTGTACTGTCTTCCGCAAGGAACCACAACCTGACCATGGCGTCTCGCGGGTTTTGTACTGCGCTCCTGCTCAGTACGTCTATACTGCTTACTGCGTACTGCATGCTGCTAGGCACAAATACTCCTCGGCGTAGTGATAGCCAGTTTTTCTTATTTCCTATTCTGAAGCCTTGTGGATTACGTTCCCTGTTTTCTCTTCTTGTCTCTCCCCAGCATTCGGACTTATACTGTGCCTCCAAGCGGTCCCGTCTCAGGGCGTCCGGTGCTACTACAGGCCTCTTGCGGTGCGTCCGTCCAGAGCCTGCTCATATTAATCTTAATACCGAGAGACGTAATGTGACGCCAGCAACCTTTGAATATAAAAAGCTTTGTCAACGACATTGCCAACTCATTGTGAATTTTGAGTCGACTCAAAATTCACCTGTTATTGCAATCTTTATATATCGAAACATCATGTATCGCCAACGACCTGGTTGAAAACGATGAACATTGTCAGCGACTTCGCCGGCGCCTTGTTTTGTTGCGGGCAAGTGCTTCATCAGCTCTAATGTCCCTATTTCCCCCTTCCCGTTCCCTTTCCCCCTCACCCGCGATCCAGCCTTGCGATTTCGTGGTGCAAGGAAGTGCAGGTGTTGTGCCGCAGTATCGCGTGGTGTCGTTTCTGGGAAACAGGTTGCTCAGCCGCACCCCCATCATCCACAAGTATGTGAGAGAAGGCCGTGTGCTTACAACATGAGAGACACGAAAGCTGACTCTGGGAAAAAAAAAAAAAAAAATACACGAGCGAGACGAAAGGAGGACTGTTCGTAGTTGTGTTTTCAGAGGCACGATAGAAGGTCATGTGCTCCCTGCTTCTTCACGGATAAGAGGCTGATAGGTCATTTCAATGCACTGATGTTGACTGCTGCTTCTTGAAATTTCTCAAAAGCGACTCTAATGCTGCTTCTCTGATAACCCCATCGTGATGTTGTCTGCTGCAGGTCCGGCGATCTTGTTATCACTGCCTCTTCAGATGACTGCACGTTCGTGGTGAGTCAGCCATTCTAAAAGTCGTGTTCAAGGCTTCCTCAATTACCCTCGTGCAATGGCAGGCCGCGAATGGTGGAGTCTCTTTTTGTGGGGAGAGAGCTATAGTAAAACAATTTTGTTGTGGCCACCCGATGATTACGCATTGAGAGTTAACCGAGGTTGTGGTTGTCGTGTTCCCTGTCGCTCGCAGAACTCGGGTGCGAGTTGCGAGAACCGATTCTTCTTCATGCCGCCAGGCAACGACTACAACAAGACCAACTATATTGGGCAACACCCCATCGCACGTACTAGCCTTGCTGTAAGCACCCTGCTGCACGCGATTACCACATGAACTTCCTTGCGGTGGTCGTTGTATGGGTGTACTTTAATGTGAACCTATGTGTGCAACCATGCTTTGTTGCTCATCTCTAACTGCAGGTATACAAGCAGCAGTGCGTTCTTCTGTACATGAACAACGCTCTCTTGGAGAGGGCTGGGTGGCTCAATAACGGGGACAACAAGCGCAAGTTTCCCCAGGTGAGGGCAGCGGATGTAATAAAGGCTGTCGGGTTCTTGCGCGGTTTCCAACTACGAAAGACGAGTTTGCGGTGCCTACGGAATATAATGTTTTTGTCACAGTCGGTGGCAACAGATATAGCTCATAATCATTCAGTACCTGCTTCAAACGTCTGGTTTACATCTCTTCTGTCCACCTCACAGTCCACACCACTCACCCATGCGTGACATTCGTTTGAAGTGCTCCTTGCTGCCACTTCTGTGCTTCTGCGTTCATCCCTGCTCTTGATTAATGCACGTGTTTGTTTGTGTCTGCAGGCCCGGCGCTGTGTGGTCTTCACCACGATCTAGCAAGACCATCTCCCACCTCTTTTCGATGACTCGTCTGCCTACATGAGCATAGACGTTTATGTTAGAAACCCCAGATAGTTTCCTTCGCGGACCCCCCTATACAGGCTTAATGAATGGGACTGGAAATTGATTCCTTACGTTGTATTGAGAAAGCTTTTTTTTATTCGTATCAATTGGCATCGTTTTCATTACAACAGGCTTTTTACAACATTTGCATCGTGATTGAACACAAGCGAGTGCATGTTAATATCACTAGCTAAGATATACCCTATCCAAGTAGCATTAGCGAGAAAAATTACGTTGTGATGGATGGTGGGCAGGCCTTTGGATGGGATTGGAGGCGCTCTTACTCGAAAGACCAGTTCGCGGAAGTTGGTCTTTCTGTAAGGGTGGGACAGCCATATTACGGTAGTCTTTTTTATCACCGTCTGCTGGAAAGTTACTCTTGCTCGTCAGTGTGCGCATTGGATAGTTACCCTTTCTTGCTTAGGTATAACTTACGGTTGAGTTTGCCTTAAGTGTAAAATAAGAGGAGCAACTGCAGCAGCACCTACGTATGGGATGGTCTGGTTCTAGCAGAATACGCTTAGCTTAGCAGGGAACAAACACAAGAAGTTAATACAGGAACTCTTGGGCAGGGCGGCGCTTCTTGCTAGCATTGAAAATGGCTACCACATTCACCCAGTTCAGACCCTCAGTGGGCAGGAGTGCTGCAGTCATCAGATCGCCTAGTCTGGCGTCGCCCAGGCAGCTCCGTGTCCACGACTTGATATGGTTCTGGCGACTGAGGCCACGCTCGCACTCCACAGTGCTGAGTGGGAGCACTGCTACAGCCTGCCACAGTTGTACGAGGTTCGGGTAAGCTCCCGTGTAGTCAGTTGACTGGAGCATGAGCAAGAGCGACTTGTGGAAGCCCATGTTGTCGTGGTTGGTATCCATCATGTGCAGAAACAACGGCAGCTCCCTCTCGCATGTGTTGAAGCATACACCTGACGGGACGGGAGAGCAGGGAGAGGGGCGGTCGGGGCGTAGGGGAGGTGTTTAGCAGCACACCAAGGTACACACATTCACAGAGCAACCAGAATATTGCATGCACAACCAGGTGGCGTACTGTCAGAATGTAATGGTTGTCTAGCCTGCAGTGGGGTACTCTATAGCGAGTACAACCCTTCTAGGGTTTGCTATATGTATCCCTATGCTTGTTAGTCAAAATCCTCTTTGCCTATTTCTCGTTTTCGCCTAGCCTGTTTAACATGCTATCAGAGCAGGTCGACCCTCCTGGGTCGATCCTGTGGGTGGTCCCGCCCGTTAGCTTCCGCTGCTGTTCTGTGTGTCGCGCGCCCCGTGGCGCGCGACGGATTTTTCTTCCCGCCACGCGCTCGGGGCGCGTGGCGGTTTTCTGCTCGCCGCGCGCCCCGAACGCCCGGCGGTTTTCTGCCCGCCGTGCGCCCCGAGGCGCGCGGCGGTTTTCTGCCCCGTCGACCGTGGCGTCGTCCCCATGAGCCCGTCGCGTCGCCCCGCAAGCCCGCCGCGTCGCCCCCAGGAACCCGTCGCGTCGCCCCGCAGGCCCGTTACGTCGCCCCCGGGAGCCCGTCGCGTCGCCCTGCAGGCCCACGCGTCGCCTCCCCTTCCCGTCGCCCGTCGCGGCGCCCTGGGGGCCCGCGGGCCACCCTATCCCGTCGCCCGTCGCGGCGCCCTGGGGGCCCGCGCGTCGCCCCCCCCCCCCCCCCCCCCCCCCCCCCCCCCCCCCCCCCTCCCGTCGCCCGTCGCGGCGCCCTGGGGGCCCGCGCGTCGCGTCCCCTCCCGTCGCCCGTCGAGGCGCCCTGGGGGCCCGCGAGCCGCCCTACCCGGCGCCCGTAGCAACTCCCCAGGGACCCGCGCCCCGCCCCCCTTCCGCTCGCACGCCGCCCCTACGCGCCGCCTGCGTTTAGGGTTTGGGGGTGGCGGGTATGGGGGTGCCGGGTGTGTGCGCCGTCCCCTCCTCCTCCTCCTTCTCCGTCTCCCACTGCTGCAGCTGCCGCTGAGGGGGGTGGGTGTGTGGGAGCCGAGGGAGTGGCGCTAGGGGGTGTAGTGTGAGCAGTGCTAGGGGTACAGCAGGGGGTGTGTGAAAACGGGGTGGGACAGCTTGGGAAGTCGAGTGGAGGCCGTCGACTTGTCGTCCGCAGCGCCTGAAGTCCAGAGAGCCACGACCCCCTGTGGCCGTGTAGTCCGGGGCTCTGCGCCCGGTAGCCACAGTGTGAGCTCCCCTGGGAGCACAGCGAGCCAGCTGCGACCCCCTGTCGCCGTGTAGTCCGGGTTTAGCCTGGTAGCGACAGTGCGGCGCACTCCTGCTGCCCGTGTGTCTGCAGCTTCAGCCGTCGCCTCTCATCTTCTTGCTCCCACAGTTTCTCCTCCTCCTCACTTGCCCTCTGTGATAGCCTCTAGCTTTGCTTGTATTTGTGAACCTACTGCTCTGCCTGCTTGTTGTGTTGATTGTACCCCACTTTGACTATGGGGGTGTGTCAGAATGTAATGGTTGTCTAGCCTGCAGTGGGGTACTCTATAGCGAGTACAGCCCTTCTAGGGTTTGCTATATGTATCCCTATGCTTGTTAGTCAAAATCCTCTTTGCCTATTTCTCGTTTTCGCCTAGCCTGTTTAACACGTACCATAGAGGCGGTGGTGAAACATGTGGTCTAGCTTTCCCAACCAGTCGCGGCACTTCTTCATTCGCTGCGTGTTGTCGTCGGGATAGACCGACAGCTGGAAAAGCTTGGAGTCGGCCAAGTCCTTCAAGTCTTCCAGGCGGAACTCTTGACGCCCAATGCAGGCCTTCGCAAACTCCAGGCACAAAGCTTTGCAGGAGTAGTAGTCGCCGTCAGTCTTATGGACTGGGATTGGACCCTCGTGTAGCACAAATGTGTGCTCTGCATCGTCGTTATTCCGGTCCACTCCTTCGACCGTGACTTCGCGATGATCCAGGTCGCCGTGCCTCTTCAGGAACGCGCCGAGCATGGGCGCCTGATCGTTGCCTAAACGATCCTCACAGTCCACGTAACGCACTTCAATAGTCCGGCGTGCGAGCGACATCTCCCCGGCGACCACCGTGATGTCAACCTGTGGTTGGGTTTTGGACAAAGAATTACAGTCAGAGGTTGGTGTAAGGTGGGTAAACGATGAGGAACAACGGCATACAAGAACAA